TGCCTAGAATGCACTAGTAACTACATTGTGTTCAGAGTTTTGAGATTTAACTATGAGATTTAATTTATCATTTAAATTTTCATACTTTCCTTGAACGTATTGCGCAATAAAGGACAAGAATTGAACTGCGGCTTGAAAGTCGCGACCCCAGCTACTAGACCTAAAAATCTATGTGATATATAAATACAATTTATTATATGCATCACTCGTCATTTTAATCCATTCTGAATTATTTGCATATTCTTTCGACGCACTTGAAGTAGATGGCCATAAAAAAGGGATTACATTAAAACAAGATTTATGTACATTATTTGGCACGTTGCTCAGCCTAAATGTGGTTTAATATAAAACGAGTTGGTAGATTAAGCCTTGTTTGTTTACTTATTCTATGGATATGAGTATTGATCCCTTAAAATTAAAAAAAATAAGTTATAACACATTAAGACATCTTTTGGTTAAATTGGTGAAAAGTAGGTGTTCGACAATTAATACAAAAAAAATAACATAAGACAAATGTAAGGTACCTACATGAAAAAGTATATGTTAATCAAGTAACTTGTTTGTCGCGTCTTGCAATATTTATATTATGACAAAGAGTCAAAGTGAATTTAGCTAAAGATGAATCTTGCTATCTCGAACGATGTAAAGAAATTGCAACAATTCATTAATTTCCCTTCATGTCTACTTCTAATTGCTTATTTAAAGTTTTATGTTTCATTAATAACTTCTCTTGATAGACAATAAGCACCTATACCTGCACCTTTTAAAATTTGAAAGAAATTTTTTTTTTTTTGGTGAAAGCAGATAAGAAAAATAAATACAATGACAATAACTTTAATCGAAAATGTGACCAACTATTTACAGTGATCAAAACAAAAATGCTAAAAAATAAACTTTTTCAAACAAGAAAAAAAAATCTAATTACAAAACACTAACAAAGATTTGTTGAGAAATGGATTCCCCATCTTTAATTCAAGCAAGAGTTGACCACCAAACGGCTAAGCTTTCCTAAAAGCTGTATTTTCTTATCTATGCCAACTCTATTCAAGCTGTCTAACCGTAATATTGCTCATCATTTATCACGTAAATGGGTACTTCTTATAATCGACCTTAACAAAATACCTCAATATGTCAGGTAAAACATTCTCATTTTGTTAAATTCAGTAAAGTGCTTGCTTACGACAAGAGGCAAGATTATCTAGACTGCACACTCAAATGGCTACGGCTCGAAGTGGCCTTGGGCTGTTTTCATCCAAGAGTCCTAAGTTTTAATATAAAACTCATATTTTTAAGCGCAATATTAACTTTCTAGTGATTAATACGCCTTAAGTTTGGTTATATGTATTATATACTATATAGCTACCACTATTATTTGTCCTTTTCGTGCTTTGTTACCATCTGACGCGTCTTATTTCGTAATACCTCTTGTATATTTTTGACCCCGGTCTTTGTAAGCAATTCTACTAACACAGTATTGTTATTCCAGGATTTCTTTTGTGGATATTCAGTAAGAAGATTTATCTTGCACATGTATGTACAATATCTATATTAGAAAATTATGTTATATTAAACATTATATAGCATTATGTTTTTAACTTTGTATTGTACTTTTACGTCATTCGTTTTTAACACTTCAAAACTTACCACATTTGAAACTGCATTAAATTAAATATATATTTTTTTATATACAACTTAAAATTACATTGATTAAATAAAGGAATACCTATATAGAACTAACAGGTAAATAGAAAAGTTTGTAATCAATCTTTCTTCCAAGTTGAAAAGCTCATACGTCATTCAATCCTTGTCACATCGACAAAGGTTAACAATTTTTCTCCATCAAAAAGGTATTTAGAAAAAAAACACTTTGATGTTACCTACTAGGGTTTTAAATTTATTACAATCAAAAACTATATTGTATTCATACTTTTATTGAAATGATTAAATGCATGATTTTTTTTAAACTTCCACTACTTGATATAATATTAGATGGAAGGTTTTGCACATTTAAACTAAATCCATCACGAAAATATATTAAGGTGATTTGCTTATTCTTGTAAGCTACTTTATAATAATAAAAGTATTTAATTAAATGCACTGAACGTAACTACGTACAAAAATAATAAACCATAATTTAGTTTTAAAATAAGCTCAATTACAAATTTATTAATATAACATTAGCAAAGCCATGTGAACCCAAAAAGTTGTGCGACTCCCAGTGGAGAGATTTCAGCGTGTTCCAGTCATAATTTTGTATACGCGTGTGTTACTCGCGCCCCAAGGCAACGCACTCTTTATTCCGTAGAATTAAACACAAAGAGACTTCACGACTTAAATCTCCTAATCCTAAATGTTAGAATAAAATTAAATTCGTACCATCTGAAAAACTCTTTTTACATTCATAGCGGCAATTTTTCAAAGATAAAAGTGAAAATAAATTGCCATTTAAATTATGCACTGCGAGCGAATTATAAGACCCTTTTTATCTTAATTCTCGCAGCGCTATCTCGAAAAATATAAATACGATTAAAATGTGGTTCATAATATCGGATACTTTCTTATAATTCGTTATCGGGTTTTGGTGATTTGTAACAAATTTTTCATGAGTCCTTCAGCGTAAGAAGTACCATTTATATCGGGTCTGCAATTTATGGCGTCCATTCATCATTTTATCGAGTCGCCCCTGTCACACGTTACGTCGACTACTTAAGTCTGATAAGTTATAATTCCCAACAGATCTGGGCAGTACAGTTCGAAGGTCAAGAAGGTTCTATTATTCATGTTGTGCTAACATTTTGCCCTAATGTGTATTATGTCTGGCAGGATAATTTTTGCCGTCGTTAGCGTATGTGGCTGTGTCAGTCATAAAACCTAATTAGGTTCCATTAGTCTTTGTCTTAGTTAGGCCTAGGGGGGACACAAGACAAGGAAGTTTTACATTTATAGGGTTACTTCAAACCATCCTGTTTAATACGAGTTATAGATATTTAAAAAAAATATTACCTTAATTTCCCTAAATACAGTATGTCGGGATGACTCGTTAAGCACACTCAAAATTGCTTGGCTATTGGGCTTCACATCTCGCTGATTAAAATTAACATTAAGCACGTTATACGTATTATAAAACGGCACATTTTCTGGTAGCATTTTCATATCTCTACAACAGCGGTCATTTCTCAAGTAAACTGTGTCATTTTTCCTGTTTTTCCTCGCTTTTCACTCATTCTTTAGATGTTTCAGAAAGTTTCTATTGTTAGTATTAATGTTTCGGCATTCACTGTTTCCGCACTTCGTAATTAGATGTGAAAAGAAATTGAAGATAAAACAAGATAAAAGAATTGCTTGTATTTTGAAGAAATTTTAAACTTATCTAGGTATAAGACTTTGGAGCAGTGTTGGCCCAGACTCTAGTGCGATTCTCAATTCTAAGCGCATTTTAACCTTGGCGGTGCAACAATAGATTTTGTTTCTAATAACGCAATTAATACTTGCTCGTACTATGAAGAGATACTTCGTAAGGAATTGACATGACTTAAACCAAAACTTTTACTTGCCTTTAAAGATAAATTGAGTGGATGCAGAAATGTAATAAGCGTTTTAGATTGTCAATGCCGTTACTATGTCGTTACATATAGATTCAGTGTTGCAAACCTATATACTACCAAAATCCATTAGTTCTTGTATTGCACTTGTATTATTGTATAATATCTATGTGTGCCTTTAAATTGTATGCTGTGTTTTGCGGCGAAAGGGCTAGACTATATTTGTTACTTTCTTACAATTTCGTGAAAGTAACACTGGCACAAATCTTTTAAAATAATATTTTGGGGAATGTCTAAAGTCTAGATACAGTTCGCTTTTGCTTCCCGCTCTTAATATCGGTAATGGAGCTCCATAAGATGCTCGCTGGGTTGTCTTGCATATCTAGGTAGTCGGCGCCTCCAACATCGTTTAAAGTGTAGATACTCGTACATATAGGAGTTATTATCAGTGTGCTAGAATGTCACTTAAAAATATATTTATAACAGCTTGACTTTACTTTATTTTCAAAACAAAGTAATTATATACCCTTATTACAAAAAACACTCCTGAGCATATTTTAGAACCAAAAATTATATAGTCTTGTGAGTTCGCTACTTCTATCAATCAAATTATCTTACATTTAAACTAACTCTCTTTTGCTGCCAGATTTGTGCTAAAGAAGAAATATTTGGATAGTGAAGAAATTCAAATTTAAGGTCAAAACTATTTAGTAACTAACTTAAGTACTTAGTTCCCAAAATCAAAACTATGGGACACTAGACTAGACTCTAATCATAGACCCCCGTAATATCCGAAAGGCACTATTTTCCAGCGTCTCTACTTGAAAAAGATCATCCAATTGTGAACAATCAAACTGTTAATTATAAAACCACAATTTATATTCATCAATTATATTAACTAACTAAATTTTAAAATAGTAATAAAAATCAACTTAATTTATTGATCTGATTTATAAAAAACTTGTCTTAATGTGTAAAGCGGAAATAGCTTTATAAATAAGAAAGTTATCCAAGTGGCCCTGTGGCTAGCAACATCGCGGGAAATGTTGAACGCAATCGTATTGGCTTACAACAAAAGTGTTATTTATATTTTAATTATTCACGTAATTACATCGGTGTAGACTATAATAATTATAAATAGTAATTATGGTGTTCAAATTACTTAATATCTTCTATATGACGGTTAACTGTGATAATGGAATTATCACAGTTAATCGTTATATTATATATATTATATTAACGGAAATAACGTCTCATTGTATTAATACGATAGGAATACATTCGTAAATTAAATTTCAATATAACTAACCTTTACATGACAATATCGTATATTCACATATCGAGGGATTTCTTTCAGTTCGAAATTTAAATATTTTCAAGTGCGTTCGAATTATGAAACTTCGTAAAATGAATAGTCTAACTAAAGTGAAGTGAGCTAGTGATGGTGAGTGACACAGCATGACCACATGGATGGCGCTGTTCGGGCTTGTGTGGCTTCTGCGTGTGCGCGGCTCCCTTTGCGGATGTTCCGCGTGCAAACGGGCCAGGCTCGATCTACCGGAAGAAAGCCCACGCGACAGCCCTGAAGACCGTGCGCCTTTTGACGTCATCGCCCTACAACACTACACTCGTGACGTCACTGTTCAAACGGATTTTGAGGATGACGAAGTCGAGGACCTCGATAAGATCGAGTTACAAATTACTGAAGAATGTGAGTAAAATCTATTATCTATGGTATATTATAAAGGCTGAAGAGTTTGTTTGTTTGTTTAAAGGTGCTTATCTCAGGAACTACTGGTTCAAATAAAAAAACTTGTTTGGACTAGTCCAGTAAACCACGGAGCATATAAATTCTTTAGTATGCTAATAGAAAATATTTATAAGCGAGAATATTTATAACCTAGAATTTAAATATTTTTTGTTATCAAAACCACATTTAAGATTTGCTCTGATGAATACAAAAATTACAGAAAAACTGAAGTATATTCAGTAGCTTATAATTATATTAGGATATTACAAGCTGGCTTAGAATTCAGATATTTCAACGTAATTACACGCAAACATTCAGCAAACGTAATATTTCTACGAAAAAATACGAGCTTCAAATACAATATTTTACGAAAGGAAAAGGGTTTGTTAAAGATAAATGTTCAGTCGCCGTAAGCGATTTTAGAAAGGTTGCGTGAGAAATATTATATAGGATAAATACTATAAACTATCTAATAACCAGAATTATCCCTTAATTAGTTTTATATTATTTCTAATGTTTATGGGAGATTAAGGAGGATTAGACTTAAGGAGTGACTCTCATCCCTGAGGTTGTAGGTTCGAACCCCGGCTGTGCTTCAATGTGAGATTTAACACTCGCTCGTACGGCAAAGAAAAACATCGTGAGGAAACCGGAGTGACAGAAACTGGAGGAGGCACTGATCGATTACCTTGCCTATTAAGAGATCACCAAACTGAAACAGACATTTGAGGGTAATGGTTTTTCTTATAACATAAATCACCTTACTGTTGTTAAGTGAGTAACACTAAGTTATAATATTATTATTGTTAATTTGTTTTTTACATAAATATTAAAAACTAATTTAATTTAAAGTTTGCTTCTGAGATAGTTTTCTTATTATTTAGCACTTATTTCGTTTGAAAGGGTCAATTTTTTAAGCAGAAATTTATGTACCCCGTACATGGGGTAAAGAGAATCATAATTACGATAATAGATAATAATGAAACGCCTGTAAAAACACGAATCTTCGAGTGCAATTCTACAACTTTTATAAAGGAAATAATAAAACTTACGGAAGTAATAATTTGAAGGTTTCAAATAAAGAACAGTACAAGTGTTCTGACATATGTTCTAAAGCGTATTAATCATTGTGTGTTACTTCCGCTCAACCTAGAAATGTCACAGTTCATATGTGACTTTAAGAATGTGATTTAATGTTGTGAAATGATCATACTTCCCACATTTTTGCATTTAAGTCACGCGCAGTATTTATATAGTGCTGTACGAGTATATTATTTTTTGTTGCACTCTTGGATATGGTTAATATATCGCCTATCTCCGTTATCATAAAAGCTATATTTATACACAAAAACAGATATTAAGGTAAGAAGAAAGTGCACTAGCATCCACACTAGGCTTCCATATTTGGGGGATGGGTATATTTTAACGGTACTTGACAATAATTTCTACATAACACTTACATTATATAATAAAACTATTTTTATTATATAATACAACTATTTTTATTATATAATATAATTAATATTTTCTGCTTCAGCAAGGGACAAGTTGGGAAGGTGTTGTTTAAGGTTGTTAGTGAAAGTGAAAACTTTGAATCGTTAGTGAAAATAAATCGTATTGCATTGCTTTACACAAAAGTTTACATTTGTCTCTTCAAGCTGGGATGAAAAAAAGATAAGATTTAATTATACATAAACAAAACTTTTGATCACTCTACAAAGTAATCTTGGAAGAGAATATACTAGAGAATATACTCAAAGATGAGTTTGTCAAAGTACTTAACCATAAGCGTGGCGTTCCTTTCAATTTACTTGTAAACCAAAAACAAAGCGATACAAAAGAGTGACAGCTCTCTGCTTATCTCATCTTGTCCTTTTATTCCCCGACCTTCTATTTTTTTATAGTGTTTATAAGCGTACATTCTTATCAATATGATTAAATAAAATAATTTAAAAAAAATTAATTTTCAAACCAAATGTTTGACTAAACGTTAATAAAATTACTGTATTTGTATGCATAATCTAATGCGTATACATTTGGGAAGAATTTTCGTTTAAATAGTTTAGTCAAAGTAAAACTTATGATAGAGGCATATCTTATAAAATATATTATCTTGTTCATCCGTTAACCTTATAAGAAATACAGTATAAAAGGCGGTAAAAATTATCTTATTCTAGATATGTGAACAACATGTGGGAGGTAGGATATACTACATTAATAATAAACAGAAAGTTTGTATAAATATTTCCGAGACTTAGAGGGAGAGAAAAAGGAAGATATGTTAGGAATTTAATGAATTTAATTGTCATAAAAAAATTAAGTGTCGAAAATTAATACAAATAATAAATTTAATTTTTTTAATTTATTTCCTAGAAAATACCAATATTCCATAATTTCTCTTTACGAAATTATAATTTTAAAAATAGAATTTCTATAAGGTTTATCAATCGCATTTTCTTCGACAACAACGCTGCACAATTCGTAACGTTTTTTAAAAAAATTACCCTCGCGCCTAAAGAAGCTTCACTTCAATAACTCCCTCGAAATATACAATCATGTAGCATTTTAATAAAACTATACATCTTATATAGTACTTAAACAGTGTAACAGTTATAAAACCACTGGGCATACACAGAATTTCCCATTACAAACATATGTTTTCCCTAAGGCAGTGTTCATAATGTTTTCGGGAGCCCCATAAAGCAGGGTTAGCTGGTTCTATTATATAATGAAAGAGGTTTTATATTCTGCATACAAGAGTTCATAGGAAGAAATAGTCAAGATATCAGGAACCTGGTTAATAATTATCCAGATTTGTGAAGCTTTAATTTCTTCTGAAAAATCTAGGAAATAAATTTTCCTGTGACTGATGATGGATGTGGAGTCTCATTAAATATTTGTAAATTAATAAAATAACTATAAGCTAACATCATATTATGTTTCATTAATTTTAACTACCAACTATTGTTTAGATAAAACAAAACATTGGCAGAATTCTCTCGGTTAATTGGGATCAAAGTTTGTTCATAGTTCCCAGTTCTCTATAAAGTATTCTCATAGCATTGTTTGTATGGACCTCAGAGTAAGAGCTAGTCTCATTTTGCCCGTAGGAAGCCACTGGTATGTCTAGTTATGAGTTTATTCATATTAACATCGAATACTACAACTATACATATTTATATACAATTTCGGATACGTATTTGGTATTCTATAAAATATTAGTTTAATTTTATTGAAGCTATTGGGTGTTCTACACGTGGCGTCGTGTCAAGTGGAAATTATTCCGAGGTCCTGAGTTCTGATTAAGAAAAAATCAATAGAAGATAAGTGGGAAGTTCGCCTTTTTGGAGAATTTTGTCAAATCCCATAACCCCTTAATGAGGCATAGACCAAATTCAGCATATTTCACAACAATGTTTGGTTCAGATCAGCGTGTTGTGGGTTACAAGACTTCAGGTACCTAAACGGTAGGTAAAAAACATTGAAGGATCGCGTTCCATTTTAAAACTCCGTTGGAACAAGACCCTGAACGGAACATCCTAAATAAATCCTACGATTAACGAGTTGGTTAACAAAAATAGCGGGACAAAAATTCCTTTACGTTCTCCCGAATCTGCTTTAAAACTATTTACACGGATATAAAGCGAAGTGCGATAAAAGACTTTATGTAACATACAAAAGCCGAATCCGTACAGTTAGTTCAAATGTCGCTCTTAGTTTTATGCTACAGAAAACATGGACAGAGTATTTTTCGCATCCCTTATGTTTTGATTTCTTTGTTAAACTATAATAATTTCAAACCTAAATGAAGCATGATCGAATTAACGATACATTTAATAAACAGCAAAATTAAAAAGTTGTAGGTTGATTTCTTTAATTTAAAGCCTATAGAGTTTGTATAAAAGAATGAGGAATTAATGATTTTAAATGATAGGTATAAACTCGTCATTTTATAGGTAGAAGTATTAACTTGGCACGAGTGAAGTATTAGAAGTAGTTTTTCATAAAGGGTTGATGCATATTGAAGAGTTTCATAGGTACGTCGTGTATAGTCTATTGTATTGAAAAACGGTAACTTTTCTCATATAAAATGCTTGCTATCTAATAAATATAGAATATATGAAAATCAGAACTTATAATATATACTTTAGCATTGTTCTGTTTTCAATATATGTATAAAAAATAAACTTGTATAATGGGCTCATCATTGTTGCTGCAATTATTACAGAAAAGAAACTATTGAATAAAATATTACAAAGTAGTTAGCGGGGAAATAAGAAATAATTAAAACTTAGAAGAAGGCTATAAAAAGTTCGACAATGCGCAAAACAGGGTAAAAAATTCAAACAAAGTTTCACTTCCTTTATTTTCAGTACGTGAACTGTAAAGTTAATCCCTTTTTTAAAGTTTTCTTCAAGAGAAAAGTCCCATCTTCGCTTTTCTCATTTTTGCCCCTGTGATGTTTCGATTTAGGTTAATGGATTAGGGCTTGAAGACGTTAAACCATGCTTAGGATTTTTTTTTTCCTACTATTTTATGTATGTCCTATAATTTTTTCATTATAGGCAAGTAGATAATTAGTACGATATTTTTTACTATTGTCTTTGAGTTACGCGAGTAATCAACTACTTTACTTTACTATTATATTATTTGTATAAGGTGACAGTTTTCAGCAATAGCGATGAGTGATAGACAAATATAACCTTTTGATATTAAGATAAGTCTATTGAAATGATGTTAAAATTCACTCTTTACGTTTAGATCAATGGATAAGTTTTTCATAAACGATGTTTCATATCACGAACGAGTAGTATTATCTGTCCAGACAACTAAACGATTAAGAACAGTCAAGGCTTGAATACGATTTCTTAGTGTATACTTAATAAAATAAATCAATGGCGCTACAACCGTTTTAGGTCTGGGCCTCAGATTTATGTATCTGTTTCATGATCATTTGGTAATCTAATAGGCAAGTAGGTGATCAGCCTTCTGTGCCTGACACAAGCCGTTGACTTTTTCTAAGGCAAGCCGGTTTCCTCACGATGTTTTCTTTCACCGTTCGAGCAAATGTTTAATGCGTACATAGAAAGAAAGTCCATTGGTGCACAGCTGGGGATCAAACCTACGACCTCAGGGATGAGAGTCGCACGCTGAAGCCACTAGGCCGGCTAACACTGCTATATAAGTGTATACTCAATAATGATATTAATAAAAAAAACTGATTTTTAAATCTGTTTTGTGATCCTTCTAGTAGTAGGCAAGTTCAGCGTTTTGTGCCTGACACTTTCGACTTTTTGGCTCTAAAACTGACAATCAGGGAACCGTCAAGTTTTTCCTTCGTCATACGAATGAGTTTTAAATTTCGCACATAGAATGTCCATAAATGCACAGCCGGGGCTCGCTTTAATCTGAGGGATGTAAGTCAAACGCTGAAGCCACAAGGCAAACTCTGCTCTAGTAGCTCCTGTGTGCTACTAAATAAATAAATCTTATGGTATCTTGTAAACTATAATGCATAACGGCTCTATAAATAGAGGAAAATACTGATAGAAGCGGAGAAACTAAACAGGTAAATGTGTAATTGCTATCCATGTATTAACATACTATATTTTAGGATAGTTAAATTAAATTAATTGTATGTTAGTTGTGTCTGGAAATAACGTGGTTTTAAAGATTAACTGGGTAAAGATCGCCGCTCTAGTTCCCATACATTTCAACGACTCATTGGTCTAGTGGTAAGTACCCCTGACTGCGAATCCATGGGTCCCGGGTTCGATCCCCGGCTGAGACGAACATCGATGTGATGAGCATTTGGTGTTGTGCTTAGGTCTTGGGTGTTTGAATATGTATTTATATGTCTATCTATCTATAATATGTATGTATATCCGTTGCCTAGTACCCATAACACAAGCTTCACCAGCTTAGCATGGGACTAGGTCAATTGGTGTGAATTGTAAAAAAAAAAAAAAAAACATACACACATACAACATACATATCAACCACCAAATTGAAGTTATTTATTTATTTATTACAGAAATACATACATTATCCTTACAGACTATGCCAATACGATAATGTCGAGAAACATTAAATAAAATATAATAAAGCAGGTACATATATAATATTAAACACATAATATACACAATATCGCTACTGTGAATTCACTCTGCGAACATATAAATATGTCGATAGTGTCGGAGACAGCATTCAGTAGGCGCAACGTCTTTGATAACGGGGATATGTACAACAGACTGGTTCTTGCCCTTGGTATCGCAAATAACCTAGGCCTTCGCTGTCGCACATATCCCATAGGTAATAAGAAACCCAGTTCTTGGAGTACACTTGGGTTGCACACTACACCCCTCAAGACTTTCAGTACGTAGCAGGCCAACTGTAAGTCCCGTCTGGTTTCCAATTTATTGTACCCCACCATCCCTAAGACAAATAATATCGGGTACATTAAAGGATAGTAGGGATAGACGCCATACAGTCTGCTATATAGGTATCGTGTAAGATAGTGTTAAAGGCCGGCAATGCACTTGGGAGCCTCCTGGCAATGTGACATGCGGTCGATTTTTGAGTCTAATTTAATTTAAGGAATGCTGGTTTCCTAACGATGTCTTCTTTCACCAGCGACTGTTAAGTTGAAAGAAAAATCCGTAAAGGCCTGTATTCACTTTGATTAGTGCGAGTGCAAGTGATTAGTAATTGAGGATGATTAGTGCAGGTCTGTAGTGCAAGTAGTGTTAAATTTTTGTTTAGTGGCTCTGTTAAGTAAATTCAGTTGTCAATAGTTTGGCAGGCACGCTGCGAGTGAGGGGGAAGGGAGGGCGCACGCGACGTCACTACTCGCAGTTCACTCGCAAAAAAATAGAACACGCTTCTAATAACTTTACTACGCAGCCAGCTATCACCTGCACTAATCAGTCGCTGTCCACAATTGTTTTCGCCTAATCACTTATCACCTGCATTAATCACAAATCAAAGTGAATACAGGCTTAAGTGATTCAAACTCATGAGGTCGAGTCGTGGGCCTAGGGTTAACACTGCTTTGAAACTATGGCATAAATTAATAAGATAATACAGGCTATATGTAAAATTTCTGATTAGAGCCAATCGCGGTATCATTCACTCACTCTGCTGTCTCTGCGACCCAAAATGTGTCCTGGCTTCTGAAACCAGTCATTATTTTATCACGTTACGGTGAAATAAGATTCTATTTTATTCTTCGGCCATTGCCAATGACATTCATTACTTACTTTAGCTACCGTATCATTAATTACTTTAGCTACAATCGTAAATGGCTGCATTACAGTCCATTAATTTGCTTTTAGTAAAAGTGCATTCAGATTAATGCGAAACTAGGACGCAGCAAGCCATACATAATTATTTGTAATAAAAAATCTATCGTGCTACTTTTTGGCGATGATATTTTATACTACACGTATGTGTGTAAAGGTAATATAACATAAATATATTATAAATATATATTCGTTAATAATATCATACATGAAACATTTACCTTAGCTGTTAGAGATTACCAAACCACACATTACTAAAATTGCAAAATCAGCACAATGGACGTTCATAGCTCCATGTAAAGTACGTCCTATGATGATTTTGTATCAAGGTCGGCCACGCCCTCGCAAGGTTTCTGTCCATAGGCGACTGTTAATATTGGGTCCGTCATCGTATGTACAGTGTATTTTCCATTCAATAACATTCATTATTCCATTTAAATTTAGATTTTTATGTAGGATTGAAAGCTTAAGTCTACGATGTTTGCTAAGCTATGCGCTTCGGGAAATCAATACGCTATAGCTATGTAGTAATTTCAATTCTGTTCCTTATTTGAAATCTTATAGGGACAATAGGAAGTTAAACAAATGTTGTATTATTTATTTGAACCTTGAATCAAAAAATCTACGAAACAGATGAAGCGGTAGGTACTGATTTAAAGTATAGATACAATACAAAATAAAGGTATTCATTGAATTTCGCCGAGCCAAATCGTGTAAGTATTCGGCTGGCACCCGAAATAAAAACTAATTGTTTTAAAAATCAAACTACCAAACATAAAACAAACCACTTACCTACTAATATCGAAGATTATAAAACCCCAGTTCTATGTAATAATTGAAATTTTTATTCAACTATTAATGCTTTATCAATGTGTAGCACTGAATACTATTGCTATTCTCATTAAAAATATTATAAACAATGCACCATTACATCAAAAATTGATTTAATACTACGTTTATTTCAATAATGAATACAGAAAATACATTCTACTTATTATTTTCAGCGAATGCGAGCAACTTTGAGGGCGGTCGTGAACAAACGCAGAGCCCAGAAGGCGGACACCACGTCACAGGAAACAGTCAGGTTCGATAAATTACTTTACCTACGAACAATATCAGTGTTATTTTAACATTATTTTGTGGCTCCTTTGTGCTATCAATACCACATACAAACACCGAGTTGCTTTGTTTATTTATAGCAAAATCGTATGCCTCAATGTGTAGTTTGCATTATTAAGTATTTTAAGCATGCGCTCTTCAATTCTTCAATGGACATATGTGCGCAAGTGATAATTGCCAGCAAAATAAATGCCGTGCGAAACTGTAAGTTTAAAAAATGCGCGCAGACTCAAATGCTACAGACAAACGTATGCCCTTGGATTTAAAACAAACTTGTTATACTTATTGGTAGTATTGTGTTGTGAAATCAGAGTGTGACTTATACGCTTAACAAAATAAGACCCCTTGCCCTTTACGAAATACGTAGTTCAAAAGAACAATACTTTTTTGAACAATAGTTTAATTGTGTATGTTCTCCTATTCATTTGTGGTTAATGGTTAGTTAGTATATATAAACAAATAAGGGATATCTGCACAATGATGCTTAAGGTTACAAACGTTTATTTGTAAGTTTCAGGAAGCTCGTTTGAGTTTTGCTAGTCTTACGACGATAATTAAATGCTTGAAGGAGGTTTCCCCAGTTTGAGAGTAAGAAAGGATATAGTGAATGATTTTCCTAACTGAATTTTCAATATATGTATTTTGTATTAAAAAAACGATATATTATATTAAAATTAATTTCAGATAATTAAAAACCTTTTAATGTAACACAAATATGTCATATCACAGTAATCATATTGTAAAACAATTACAATACTATCGAGTTATATTCTAGGACTTAATAGTTTTATTGTTTGGTTTATCGCACTAGGTTGAATCAAGAATTATTTTTGTGACCTTTATTAAGAAAGGTTATATTACGTTACTTCCGACTTAATGATAATTTTATGTGAAAACACCAAGCATATTTAATCCTAACTGGGTCATAAATTATTCCGCTTTAATCCCAGTTCTATCTTTTATTATTTTTAGACTGAATTTACTAGATGCAAGTTTTCTTTGTCCAGAACGACAACGGGAAAAAAAATCTGTTAAATAAACCCATGGGAATTGAAAATATAAACGTTTATTAACTTTATTATTATTACATATCGATTTCAAAAATTAACTATTACAATATCAAATCGAAAAAAAAACAAAAATGTTTATTGTGTCCCAAATTTTACATTAAATACATGAGTTGAGACATCCCCCGTAAGTAGTCAGAGATTGTGTTGAGATTGACTCGCTAATTCCCTTATTTACCTATACAATATTGAGACAGTTGTTAGAAAATAATACAAAACAAAACCCAGCTAAGAAGCAAAGCCGGTAAAAAATTAAATAAAATGTAATTCTCATTTCATCTCTCGTGTTTGTCTTTGTATGTGCGCAAGTGTGTGTGTGTGTGATGTGTGTGTGTGTGAGTAAGTGTGTGCTTGTTGTTAAGTATATAATTATGTATGTATGTATGTATATAATATTGAATCATTCAATAGGCTCTAAGTAAATAAGTTAATACACAATTATATGAAAATCATACTTAGCTCGATAACACACTGGTTTAGAAAGATATATTACTATCATCATTGAAACTTTAAATGTAGGCTTAGTGATTAGGCGTATGTGTAGCCGCGCGTTCGAAACCGGGGATTGCATTAATTGATTTGTTTTTTCTAAATCTCTCTCATATTTTGAAGGGGAATATAATATGGTGATTAAAACCAACAATATACGACCAAACTGTCCTAACTATAGTGTTTAATTAATCGTAATAAATATATACTTTGTTCATTATATTAATATGTACAAGTGATTTATAGATTTAAAAACATTTAAATAACAATCTCTCGCATGATAGCATATCTATAAAAAAGGCATTACCATGAATGAGAAATTGCTCCGTATTAAATTCAATTCATCAGATACAGTGATTATTCAACAATTAAAATTGGTAAAAGGCCAATGGTCATTATTTACCAAACATGCCTGTAAAATGCCAGTGTAATCTGTTGCTTTACAGAGAGGCGGTCATTTAATTAGAGCTTTGTTGAAAATCTAGTAATCATTTACCCGATATTCCCTTTAGACAGCCTACGGCCATAAAAGCTTGTTTCAAAATTAGTGGAAACTATCATTAAATGCTGTAACGAATCTCGGCTAGAACGCTAACAAACATGTCGATGAGATAGTTGCGTAACTAGTCTTTAAAAAACGTGTCTTTATTAAAAAACATTAAATCACTATAACAATAATAAAATACAATTATTGTAAGGTAACATTATTAGGTCTAATTTGACTTTCGATTCGATATTGCGTGATTTATACGTGAAGTGTCGTAATTTCTTAATCTGGTGATTGTTTTTAATGTAATATTATTTAATTTGAGTTTGCATTTGGTTCATAATTTTATGTCGTTGTATGTTATGCCATACCACGGTTTTCTCACTATGTTTGCGTCACCGTAGGAGCTAATTGCGAAAATAGTAAGAAAAATCCATTAGTACACAGCCGTGAATCGAACGCACAACTTTAGGGTTGTCGTTCGATTGTGATGATGTCGAAAACCAAAATTATGACGATTAAACAACTATATGTTCATGTTATCTTAATTAAAAAAATTAAATAACTCTCTCCATAGTAGCTTATCATTTAAAAAAATCAATCTTGCCGAAGCCGCGTGCAAATTATTTGAAGAAGTCTATTAAGTATGAGGGTGTGCAATTATTTAATCAATTACCCTCAAGTACCTAGTATAAAATCCTTAATATTAGCGTGTTTAACCAATACAAAAGAGCATTAAAGATCAGAATGAGCCTAGTAGACTACAATTAGGATGGCTTTCTGATGGCGACGTGTATCTCGTTCGTATAACTGAGTACTAACAATTATTGTGGAATTAAAATTAACTCTTCGGATTCCGTATCAGGGTCGTACGTTCTATTTTACTTTAAGGAAATTTATGTAATTTTATCATAGACCGATAACCTTAAAACAGTAGTTAACTAACCAGACACAAATATTCCAGTTACATGGTTTTTAAAGCCATAATAAGTGAGTTGACTCTGAGTACAATTTAAACTTCTACCAATGCGTCTTTTGATACTGCTACGTACGGGGAATAACATTTCAATTTCCTTTCAGTTTTCACAAGACTCGGACGATATTTGGGAGACTATCGAGGTGACATTAGAGCGTGGGGCGTCAGGACTAGGTCTTAGTATAGCAAGTGGTGAGAGCGAGGGCGACGTTAGCATAACACGGATCGCACCCGTGGGCGCTGCAAAGAATGATGGACGTTTGCAAATTGGAGACATCTTATTGCAGGTAATCTTTGAAAGTTTTTGGGACCTAATTGATTTATACCTAGATGTAACCTTATATAAATAACTCGTAGATGGGGGGCGATGGCGTCCAGTCCACAGTATGTCTCCATCGCGTTCCGTCTTGAGCCTCGTATTTCACCTCGCTCCAAGTCTTTCCGGACCTTTTTGAATCTTTGTATGAAGCCAGTTCGCAAAGCATTAAGAAGACTAATCATAATATTAAATAGTAATGTATCAACTCGATTGATCTTTCACTGATCAAGCCTGATGTAAAGCAGTCAGAACGTAAAGTTTATATACCTTAAAGCTTAATAAGTATTCCATAAGCCAAGGTGCCACATTCAACCATATTATATATCTGGAAAGTCTAAAGAATATTGTGGGGGGGGGATTGTTGTTCTGATTTCTTCTATTAATTACAAAAAAGAAATGTTTATTAGATATAATATTAAATTGCTCCACCTAAATTATTCTGATGAAATAATAACTTTTGTGAAATAATAAAAATAAACGATTCCTTAATTTTGAGAAAAATATTTCACATAAACTTTAAGCTGCCATAAAATCTGAATATAATCGTGAAATAAAACTGTATGATAAAACAAAAATATTATCAAGTGAAGATAAAGTTTCGCTAAAGCGTGAGATTCATTTTATCAAAATTTTATAGGCAAAGTCGTAAAAAGTACGTGACTATAGAAAATAACTCGACATATTTGATTTTATATGTTTTCGAATGTACTAAGTTAAGGAATTATATTTGATTCACTAACATTTGTTTCGAAATTAAAAACTGACCTTTTGTCACAAGTATAATTTTCATTAATAAGACAAGTAGGCATTCTAAGCCAAGCCGAAATAAGGAAAGGACTCGGAGTGACCTGCCTTGCGATTCTGTTACTCACTTTTCGAACTCAAACAGCAGTTTCTTATAAGAAGGGAGTTTGTAGTTTATTGTTTATCAGAATGCCAAATCGTAAAATGACTGCTTTACGACTGATTTGAGCGCGACCGCCGCTGTGAAAACCGCTGTGAGAGTTCGAAAAGTGAGTTACAGAATCGAAAGGCTAGACAAAAACATCCTTATATAAGCAAATAAGCGTAGTTTTAAAGAAAGTTACGCCTTCTATAGATTAAATTTAAAGCTTTTCTGTATGAATATTTTACTATCCAGAGATTATCCAAACTAATCAACAATATCAGTATGTTTTACAGCATATTTAGGATTGAAACAACTTTTTAACGAAATGTTTAATTTTATTATTTAAAAATTTGGACACGTGTGGTTGAGACACTTAATACTTTTGTATATTTGACGCGTATATATGTCGAATAATTGTTGCTAGTAAAATTCGATTAAATCAAAATATTTGTTACACATTTTAATTTTACATTATCATCACCCCGTAGTTTGATTTAAAGAAACCACAACAATTAAGTGTGAAACAATCCTTCAACTGTTAAGCCTTTTGGAAGCTCATTTCCTTAATATTACAAAGCACTTACTCAAGTTCACAATTTCCCTGCGTACGTTTCTACGAGGAGACCCATAAAACGGTGTAAGTGATCTCCGCCGTTACTTGAATTAACTAGTAAAGGATCGTATTCGAGGAAAGAGCCTTGTTTCCATAATAAACCCTTATGTTTATTCATTGGAAGATCATAAGCTTCTGAAAGCCAACATTGAAATCGTAAGAGGAAAGACCAAATGTTATAGCGGCTCAATCAAAATTATTAATGCCGCCTGCTTTGAGATTATATTATGAATTCAGCCTACATTAATACATTGATTTAAAATCTTGGGATTACGAAAATAAGCAAGACTTAGAATTTTTGTTTGCCGAATGGCAGAATAAGGGCCTGTTTCACAATGTATGGATAAAGTACCAAATAGCTATGCAACACATAAATTATTTGGAAGATAAATTGTGCTGTTTGATATTTATCGGACTCTTAACTTATGATGGACTTTATGTGACGAATAGCGCTATCTGACAGTCGTGAAACGCAACAATAGTGTTTATCCTACCAATAAGTAATAAATAGCTAATTTGGAACTTATGTAGAACTTATCCGTACATTGTGAAACAGAGCCTAAGTTAATAAACCCGAATAACGACGTGTTTTTGCAAGTATTCAACTTTCATAGTAAATACTAAATAATTCACGTAAAAAAACGCATATATTCGAGTGTCCTGTATTCTTAGGCTTAGTCTGACAATCCATATACGCATGTCATCGATGACGGATGTCGTATAATAAGAACAATACCATCTTGACACGAATCTACTCTTACGAAAACGGGTCGGCTCAACTATAGATAATACATTTTGTAAGAGCATGAGAGATATACAAGTGATGTGCATACAAATATTGTTTTGCCAGTGACATCTCATCTATACTAAGGATTTTACTTATTCATAGGTCAACGATGTCTCTGTCGAGAATGCACCACACTCGGTAGCGGTAGACGTTTTACAAAATGCAGGAAACATTGTGAGACTAGTAAGTACCTCTAGAATGTAAGTGCCTCTTTTATTCACTCTTCCCTTAACTGCAACGGGCGCATTATCTCATAATAGAAGACAATATTATAAGAATGTCATTGTTGAGTTCGCTCTTTTAATGAGGTACGTACGTTCCCTTTGTTATTGAGAAAATTTTAATGTTTTCATTTCGAATACGATGTAACTTTTGCGTAAGATTTTGATTTAAATAAAGAATGAGTTGTGGACCCAATTACCGCTTGAAAGTTATTATGAGGGAAGCCTTGTAATTTTTTGTTATTTGTTAGAGAGTTCGGAGAGCTCGCCGGCCAAGGGTGGTGACACTGTATAGAGGCGTGCGCGGTTTGGGTCTGGGTATAGCGGGCGGAGCGGACGATGCCGCGGGTGGCGGTGGCGTTTTTATATCGCACATCGCTGCAGGTGGTGCTGCCCATCACGACGGCAGACTGAAACTGGGAGATAAAATACTGGCTGTCAGGGATGAGGATGTACGTTATATTATGCATAATAGGGTATATCTAACCTTACCAACTTCCAGTTTTTACTACTCTACCAGTTTTGTTACTGTACGATAGAATATGTTAACAAAAAAATTCTTTTTTAAATTTTAAAACTGTATTCAAATTTTACTTAATGTATACATTGCATCTTGAACAAAAATATATTATTTATAATTATTGATAATATTTCTATAAACGATTTCAAATGTGTATATCTTTTGAAAATGGATGAATGTCTCAAGGAATAAATGAAGCTTAACTGCTATTATTATTGTAAACAATAGGGTATAGAAACATCTTTAATCGGAGCAACCCACGCAAAAGCAGTAGCAGCTTTAAGGAGAACGGGTGAACATGTGACCCTAGTGGTTTTACCCGCTACAATACCACCCGTAGTGAGAACCGCTCCGCTTTACTCAAGTAAGCACCTTTATACCCCTAGACACCATTTAATTAGAAAGTTCAACACAAATTGAATCTACTGTTGATTAGAGCAACTATAATATTCCACAGAAACTAGAGCCTTTCTAGAAATTATTTAAATACGGCAAATACTTAAATAATTTATTGTACATTTACGGCTTATATTAAATAGTTTCTGCTCCTTAAATTCTAGTAATTTGTGGATTTTCCTAACTTTGATGTTTTATATTTTGTTGTTCTACTTTTCAGTTATTTCGTTGTGTATTCGTAGAATGTTTTCACGTTTTTTCAAATTGAACTTTGACTAACAGCACGAACACAAGCAACGTCGTGTTCCACGCTCCACGAGCTTTCGGAAGAGGATCCAAATAAAATACCAAGGTATTCACTGTTTTCTAAAAATTGCAATACTAAAATTGTAATTCGTAGCGCAGGACTTCTGTCACTATATTATCCAAATAAAATATCTTACAATCGCCACATAATTATAACTTACATAACCAGAGTTATTCTTTAGTAAACAATAATTAACGCCTTCATTTGCGTAATAGATTTTACTTAAATAAATGTATAATTAATGATCAAAATTTAAGTTAAAGCGAAAAGTGAATTGTATTTTCAGATGTGTGCGAATGGTACGGCTCGTTCGTTCTGGATCACGTTTAGGAATGGATATAGTAGGTGGTTTAGGTGATGCTGAACGGGGAAGTGATGATGATGCTTGTGGGGTCTTTGTATCTGGAGTGGCTATGGGAGGAGCTGCCCATGGAATGTTGCACAAGGGAGACAGAATATTAAGCGTTGACGGACGGGACCTTACACGAGCCACGCATGAACAAGCTGCTGCGGCTTTAAAGGTATAACTAAAATTGTAGTAAATAATACGTACGACTTATTTTCATACTCTGATGTGGTATTTATTTATGGGCTTGGAAAATATGTTAATCGACCTAAATATATTGTGTTAGTTTTGTTTTGTTTGTTGTTAATCACATTAAACTTTATCGAACATTTTGTTGTTCTGCGTTAAGCGTTCTATTTCAATTTATTTATTTACGCTTCAAGTGTGTTTTATATTTAAATGTAAAATCAAAATATATCTAGAATAATTAATAAATAAATGAAGGAAGTAACTGTTGTGCGATTCCGTCTTTTATAAGAGCCTGTAATAATAAAATGTATCTAAAAATTTATTTTTTATCAACAATTTTTTTTTACTTTATACATTTTAATTAATGTTAACAAATTAGCTATTAATTATAAACGGTTCGGTATTGCAGTACTCGGGTGGTGCTGTAACCGTAGCAGCTCAATACCAGCCGGAGCAGTATGAAAGGCTGCGTGCACGCATCCGAGCGATCAACGCTTCTGTATCGCCGCACGCACACCGCGTTCATGTTCCTGTACAACCTGACTTGCATACTATTTATCCTAGGTAAGAAGAATAGTTTCGAAAGTGTTTCCATTTCCAGCCTAAATAAATGACATAGTCGAAAAAAATTGCGCGCCTTGGATAGCGCCTGCTTGGGGTACTTATTAGATAAACGACTATAATTCTACTATAAAATATTTGTTCTACTATAATATTTTATGCCTAATAATAGAGTACCATAATGACAAAAGTTATACAAATTTTCTGACTCCCGAAGGTCCTTGAAAGGTTTCAAATGAAGCTACAGCAATTGTATGGCAATCCACAATCGCCACAAACTTCAGTGGTATGTTTAATCAAAGGGCTTGATAATTATATTTAATGACCATTTCATTAAAATAACTACTTCAAAATGTACGTTAATTGACGATCGACGTTTCAATTTATTTATGTAATTTATCATACTGACATAATGGTCACCTTGACATTGCACTTATTCTTTTTACTTGCAACTCATTTGTATAAAATCTATACATTAGACAAGTAAACAAGTAAACAGAAGAATAAAATATGATCAAGGCTTAGATTATATTGTAATCTATTTGTTAGTTACTTTAGTAAAGAGGATTAGAAACTTATTAACTGAAAACTAACAGAAAAGTACTTTTTGCCCTTCCAAACATTGGTCGGGCCTGGTCGTGTGTTTGCTTATCAACAATATTTGTATTAGGTTGAAAATTATGGTAAGTCGTCTATTAACGCTCTATGGGCAATATATCGCGACATATCTAGCTGCGTATAGTTACATTTTTTTAAAGAATGCGTATAAACTAGAGACACAACACAATTATTGTTACACGATACATCGTATACACAATACATGCGATACCTCATCATAGCTAAAGAAAAACAATGATGAAATATACAGTTTGACGCACAGCACATGGTGATAGTTAGTGTTCGGACACGAGCCCTTCCACACATTACCTCGGGATAGTTCACAAAAATGAGTTTTTGTTACGTGCGATCTCAAGCTTGCAACAGCGCAACGGATATTGAGAAAACTACTTTTATCGAAATTGCTTACAACGTAGGGATCGGTATTGCTATTGGAAGAGACAGATTGAGGGGACAGGAGATATTTTAATAGGACGAATAATTAAGTTATTCAATCAAATAAGCTAATATTGGGGGCTGATAGTTGGCCATGTGTCATACTCGTGCACGGGTGCTACTTGTGGTGAATGGCCGGACTTGAATTCGTGTATGCGGTGATGTTAGTTATTTCGACTATGTATGTGCGTGTTATTCCCACGAGAATGTAAGTGCGTGCTCCTATTTCACCATACCTTCTGCTAATAGAGGACAAATCTTTGTTGTGGGAATCATGTGGTGTAACGGTTGCAGCTCCTTACAAACATTGTGTAAAACAAACAACATGGCGATTAAAAGAGTTGCGGAGAGTTTATTGCCAGTTCTTCTCTTTCGTTCTACGCCCTCGATTTGAGAACTGGCAGTAAATGTATAATTACAAGCAATTCATATATATTTATTTTTTGACGTTCATGAGTGTACATTTTGTAACCTATATGAATAAATGATTGTTGAATTTTTAATTACAGATTCCTCCAATGCAGTGTTTACATTTACGTCACATACAAAACAATACATATTGTGTGTTGTGTCAGTGGTGATAAAGTGATATATTAAGTGTTATACATTATTCTATTCAAGCCTACATTCCCACAAGGTCTAAGTATACCTTGCCTAATGAATGGAATGTCTGTGTCCGCTTAATGCCTCATTGGGGGATCAAAGCACATATGATATTGCGCGCGCATCTATGCATCATATAATATGCATAATACAACTCTAAACAACATTTTATAGTATCGTAGTAAAACAGTTTTTTGTATATCTTTTTATCTTATTTAATTTAATTTATTGGTCTAAATTGTTTGTCATAGATTATATTTTCACTCTATTAAGGATTATCATTGAAATTTATTTGTTTAATATGTACGTTGATGAAAACCTGCATGGCTTTGTGCCGGTAAATTACTGGTGCTCCGTCTTGAGACCTTCAACGAAAAAGGCACTCACTTTCCCATTGTATTTTTTTCACTGTCGTATATTCGATAGATTCATGTATACTGTGGTATGGCTATTTTAAAATATTGTGCCACTTTTTTGACTAATGTTGAGATGTCTACGATTCGTAGCAATATTTTAAATTTTCTTGGTTAAGTGCTTCTAAACTAATCTTAATACCGATTTAACGACTGCTAATCAATTGAAAAATATTCCTTCGATTCAAATATGTTTTGTCTACAGGTAACAAAAGACTGTCTTTGGAATGGAACAGAAAGGATTAATGACTGAAGACAATTAACTCTTAAGTGGTTGGGATTATGAGACATTATGATGTATACATGATAATTTAGTAAAACCTAGATATGATAGTAAAATATTTATTTTTATTAACCTAAGTTATGGTTGTTAGATAATATGATAAGATGACTCTCCTGTCATTTTAAACCCTCAAAAAGTTGTAACCGAATGAAACATTGCGTTAAAATTTCTAATTTTATTTTTTTTACTACAAGATACTGCGAAACAATAGTAAATAAAAAACATAAATCACAAGACAAATATATATTCACTTGAGATCTACTTAAACCACTTTCCACCAACGTTACCCTAAGCTACGAGTACAAATCTCGTAGCGTTAAGCTTTTTAGATGACTTAATGAAGTCATCTACGCTGCTACCGTGCTACGCAGTGAATTCACGCGTACTTTCAGCTATTTTTTTAGTATAAAATATAACATGCAGCGTATTTCGTTTAAAGAACCCTATTATTTACTGTCGCTTTAACAAAACGCTTTCCATTCACATACCGTTAATGACGTCACAATATCCTTTAGACTGTATTTAAAGGAAATTGTTACATCGACATTTAAAAATCAATTCTATATACATTGAAGATGGCCCGCTTAAACATACGTTACAAAGTTTAACAAAGCTGTACCATATCTGTTTACATTTGTGAACCTTTTCTGCGGTTCCCTTTGATATGAAAATTAGATTAAATGATAACATTTATATAACGCGCTGTTTGCTATGATTATTTTATTATAACTATTTACATTTCATCACAACAAGCTCTTTGTAATAATAATTTAGAAAAAGACCCGTGAAACGCGAAAGTGCGTTTAGTATAATAAACAATTATTTTTTTATATTGTTAAGAACCAACATATTGTAATCATTGTTAGAAAGGCTAAACTGAGTTTGTAAATATTTGAAATTATTGATGTTATGTAAAGTACTGTAAAGTTACTGTAAGCATTGTAAAGTTTTTCAACTGTGATATTAAAATAATATGTGTGTAAAGTTTATTACTTATGAAATAAACAGTTTTTGACGTCTGTCTTATTTATTTGAAACCCAAGTGCTTAATGAAGAAAATGTCGTTCATGAAAATACTCGATTGTCAACATAAGCGAAGCGTCTGCCTTTGGGGTCGTTCCAAAATAAATCGTTTTAAAGGTAAACAGAGAATTTTGTGGGATTTTCATTAAATATTTTCTTAAGAATGTTATGATATAGACTTTGCTTTCGGTAATTGATCTCTCTTGATTTAGTGTTAGCAACGATCCTTGATTTGAAACCTATTTTTAGTAAGCCAATTATTTTCAAGCGTGGTAGATATTCAAAAATTAAACGAAGTATGTTTTAGTCGATTAATAAATTCAGCTTATGTTCAAAGACTTTTGCAATTATTAAACGTAAGGTCTAATAGAGGTCATTTGACCTTACTGAGCATTATGTCTAGTTTTTAGCATGCTTTGGACATAGTTTGTAAACATTACAAACGCTTTGTTGTTGCACAGATGTTGTAATACATATCAATAAGCAGTATCATCAAAACGTAAAAAAATTTAATTTGGTTGATTTAACACAAAACCCATACTATCATTCACTCTTTATAACGCAACAGCTGCTCTCTATTACGAAGAAATATTTTCATATTTAGACATCAACAACATACTTAAGTGTAATTGTTTTTATAATCAGATTACTAAACTAACCTATTGAGGTGCCGAAATTTCTAAAAAGGCACCTGAGGTCATAAGCAGCCGTCTCGTCTTTGTTATTGTTAATTGCATTAAGACATGTTCCTTAGTCTTAGTTTACATTGCCTGTAGGAAATTTTGGTCTCAGTTACTAAACGCACCATTGTCACCTATCAGTTATATATATAAATTATGGTAATTGGTAAAATTTGGTGTTTTTCTCTCGTCTCCCTATAACAATAATTCTCTATAACGAAGAAAATGCTCTGTCCCTTGAAATTCGTTATAAAGAGTTTAAACTGTATATTGATTTTAGGGTCTTATACATAATGGTTTCTCACTATGCCTTCCTATACAACCAAGAATTAGTTACGCACATAGAAACAAACATTTAATGGTGCGCAGTAGAAGTGCGATAGCACGGCATCAGCCCTGCGATTCTGTAACTCACTTTTCGAACTCACACAGCGGTTTTCGCATCGGTGGTCGCTCTCAAATCAGTCGTGAAGCACTCATTTTATGATTTGGCATTCTGATAAACAATAAACTACAAGCTCCCACCTTTTCTAATATCATTCTAGGAAGAATTACAAACAACGATTGTGAAATAATTGTATTAAAACAATTATAATTGTTATTAATTGGTTGTTTGTAGGAAACAAAACATTTGGGCTAAGAATTTCACACCTAACTTAGCTGATAACACTTAGATTATCATATCATATTAGTCCGGCAACGCACTTGCTGACTTTCCGGAGTACCTGCTTAGTAGACGGCACTTGAGCTATATACTGCCGACGACGACCCATAAAAAACAATCACTTTTGAACATTTACACTATTAATATATAATTATACATAAATAATATATATGTTATACATTAAACTATATATTCAATAATATACTTTAATAAATAGTAGTCTAAGGCTTTCGACTCTTTACTATGTATCTGTCGCCGTAGATATAGTATGTTTTGCAATTTTTTTTT